ACACAGGGATGTCTTAAGGACTGTGATGAGAAGATAATTAAAATGTCATGTTTTTGTTTTCCTCAGCGAATGCTAGAGTCCCCACAGCAAAGTACACCAAGATGGGAGAGACTCTGAGGCATGTTATTCCTGGTCACGTGCAGTGCTCCATGACCTGTGGAGGGAAAGCATGTAAATATGAGAACCCATCTCGCTGGAGGGATGAGGAGCAAGCCATCAAGGGACTCTATTCATCCTGGTATGTTCTTGCAGTCCTGATCAGCCTGGAGTCATGTAATCTACATATGCAAAAGCATAAAAACTTTACAAAACACCTGTAGCGATATGGGGTGTAAATCTATGTTTTGATTATCAGTTAAGCTCATAAAATATGCATGTATTATGCAAATAACCTTATTTATGGCACCACCTCTCTTAGAGAGAAAAATCACTTTCTATTTACCCCAAAATAATGTAAAATGAACGTGAATCATTTTTCTCGTGTTTAAAGAAAATCAAATAAATTATTACACACAAATAAGCCAAAATAAGCACAGATTAAATTATGATTTTAATGTATTTATTATAAAAATAATAATCTATGATATAGACAGTGAAATATATGATTATGATTATATATGCATGACAAAAAGTTAATATCAAATGACTTTGAATCAAAGGTCTAATTCATGAGTAAAATTAGTGAAACTTAAAAAGCAGATATAGGACTGGTTTACCAGAATTTCCAGACTACATGCGCACCTGTGTACAAGCTGCACATACTAAATATAAGATAAATCATAATTTTGTACATAAATAAGATGCACCAGCTGTTAAGCCGCAGGTATTCACTGTGCAGTGAATGTAAGTGCCCAGCTTTGTCTGTACTTTACTTGAGGTAGTACAAAAATCAGCCACTTGATGGCAGTTACGGACCATGGACCTGTTAACATACACTAAGCCTGAGTGGTCATCCTAGGTATACTTAAAGCTTCAGGTTTTGACTCATGGTAACAAACATTATACCTTTTAAAATGAACAAAATACTGGTAAATATCTACTGGTAAGCATAATTACTGGACATAAAACACTAAAAATGGGCATACAATTGTCAAACACTTAGGTAACTGAAATTATTTAAAAATTATATACACCGGGAAATATTACCCAGAAGTCTTAACGGGGTCAAGTGACAGGAAGTGTAATACCATAGTACAGATAAAATGTGGTACCCGTAAATATTCATTGAATCACAGATAGAACCACTGATTTTTATTGTTAAACAATATTGGTATCAGCTGCTGTTTTTAAATCTACCTTTACTTTCTAAATTATCTTATCTTAAATTAATATTACGGGATTTCTCTTCAGCACTAATGAGGAGGGGAGGGAGAAAGGGGGAACAGTCCCTCTCCTTCTCCCCCGCTCAGTTTCATGAGTGAGACGAGCTTAAATTCAATTCAATTCAATTCAAAAATACTTTATTAATCCCAGAGGGAAATTATTTTGTTGTTGTAACTCGTTATCCTCATTTCATTAAGAGATGTTATAGATACTGATGGCTGTAGACAGGAAGGATCTCTTGTAAAGGTCCATCTCACAGTGGATCCTAAGAAACTGGCTGCAGATGCCGTCTGACCCATCCACCCAGACTCGGCTGGCCTCTTGGTTCCCCTGGACTGTAGGACCGCTTGAATGCTGGGCAGAACTCCTCCCAGAGCGATGGCCACTCCTCCCAGCAGTCTGCCGAGCTCCTCGTCACTGCGGACAGCCAACTGTAGGTGCTGAGGGACGATCCTGTTCTTCCGCTGTCATGAGCCATGTTTCCTGCTAGTTCCAGGATCTCAGTGGTCAGGCACTCCAACACAGCTGGCAGGTAGATGAGAATGCGTCCACAGAACATCCTTTTCAACTCATTTGAGAGTTGGGGCTGTAGTTGAGATATTATTTGAGCTTTTGAGATGTTAATCAGCTGCTGTTGGTTGTAGAAAACTGCCTTGTTGCCATGGTTACGCATCATAACAAATGTCCAAAACTAAAAAACGTTTCAGTAAAAATCCTTCCAGCTGCACAGCATCTGATACCAGAGGAAACAATCATCCAAAAAACGTGATTTACATCCAGAAAAACAGGAGTTAAAGTTTCCAAAAGCAAAATCTCAGAATGAAAGTAACAGAGCTGCTCCAACATGCAGCCACCTGGAGCGGCGCAATTCTAGAAAACAATAATATACCAAATATAACAAATAATATACCTACTGGTATTTAAACACATTTACCGTAGACAGAAAGATTTTTTAAAACCTTTATGTTAAATATGTACCAGTCTTGACTGACTGACTGCTTTAAAATAAAACCTTGACTTCGCTGTGCTCACATGAGTTTGGGGGATTAATGGGAACAGCCCCACCTGTTGTCTCCACTCCGTTTAATGTTCGGATGAGAGTGTAAATTATGTAGATCTCTGTATTTAAACACACATGTACTGTACGCAGAAAGATGTCACACAGAAATAATTTTAAAACTTTTATTAAAATATGTACAGACTTGACTGCTTAGAGCACTTCTGCTCAGCTGAGCCCACATCTTGAACAACTGGATGAGACAGCATTAACACGACAATAAAAAAAAAAAAACAGTGATGGTCGACCAGAGTCACTTATTGCTCTGTTCGCCGTCCTTTGTGCACTGAAACCTCTTCTTCATTGTCAGAATTGAAGAGGCTCAAAAAGACGTTATCACACACGGGCTCCTTGTCGCTCTCAACGTCACTCTCCCTCGCATCATCCCGCAGCAGTCCAGCCTCATTAATGCACGTGTATCTTGGAGAATGGGTCAATGACAGCATCTCATTGGTCATTAAGGTTACACTTGTGGTCACATGATGATAGAGTAGGTGGAGTTATGGTAGTTAATTTTGAAACCATGACCTAGAATCGTGGCACATCTGATTACCTGCAGGCATTCTTCCTGTGTCACAAATGCCTGCCCCCAAGAGGGGCGGGATATTGGGAGCCAAGCGCACCCAGCCTTGTCAAAAGTAAATTGTAGACAGTGGCAGGAAACTGCCATGAAACAACAGGAAGTCTTTCAAAATAAAATAAAAAATTAAATTAAATTTGAAAAATATGAAAAAATTACTCTTCCTTGAATTGCCACCTTATGGTGGAGGAGTTTGTGCACCTGAATGATCCTAGGAGCTATGCTGTCGGGAGCAATTATAATTGCCCCTGGTAGGGTCTCCCAAGGCAGATTGATCCTAGGTGAAAGGCCAGACAAAGAGTGATTCAGAAGATATTTATGAAAAAAACAAGGAACTCAAGTGTCCCTTGCCCGGAGGGGCTCATCGGCAAGCGCCTGGTGGCCGGGTCACAGCCATAAAAATCGGGTGAATGATGCTATGGGCAGTAGCCAAAGGCGGGGACCTTGGCGCTCTGACCCTGGCTTACTAAAGCTAGCTCTTGGGACTTGGAATGTAACCTCTCTGGCAGGGAAGGAGCCTGAGCTTGTGTGCGATGTTGAGAGCTCGATGCACAGCATGGGCTCTGGACCTGATCTTCTTGAGAGGTGTTGGCCCTTATTCCACTCTGGAGTTGCCCATTGTGAGAGGCGTCAAGCTGGTGTGGGTCTACTTGTAGCCCCCCAACTTTGTGCCTGTGTGTTGGAGTTTTCCCCGATAGATGATGAGAGGGTGGCTTCCCTTCCCCTTTGGGTGGGGGGATGGGCTCTCACTATTGTTTGTGCCTATGTGCCAAACTGCAGTTCAGAGTATCCAGCCTTCTCTGAGTCCTTGACAGGGGTGCTGGAAGGTGCGCCAGCTGGGGACTCCAATGCCCACGTGGGTAATGACAGTGTGATCTGGAGGGGCGTGATTGGGAGGAACGGTCTCTCTGATCTGAACCCGAGTGGTGTTCTGTTGTTGTACTTCTGTACTAGTCATAGTTTGTCCATCACGAACACCATGTTCGAACATAAGGCTGTCCATAAGTGCACTTGGCACCAGGACACCCTAGGTCGTAGATTGATGATTGACTTCATAGTTGTGTCATCTGATTTGCGGCCGTTTGTTTTTGACACTCGGATAAAGACAGGAGCTGAGCTGTCAGCTGATCATTACCTGGTAGTGAGTTGGATCAGATGGCGGGGGAAGATGCCAAACAGACCCGATAGATCCAAACATGTAGTGAGGGTTTGCTGGGAATGCCTGGCAGAAGAACCCATCAGAGAGATCTTCAACTCACTCCTCCGGGAGAGCTTTAACTGCATCCCAGCTGAGGTGGGGGGCATTCAGTCTGAGTGGGCCATGTTCCGCACCTCGCTTGTTGAGGTAGCTGCCTTGAGCTGTGGCCGCAAGGTTGTCGGTGCTTCTCGTGGTGGTCATCCATGAACTCGGTGGTGGACACCTCGGGTTAGGAAGGCTGTCAAGCTGAAGGAGGAGTTCTATCGGGCCTTGTTGGCCAGTGGGACTCTGGAGGCAGCTGAGGAGTACCGGATGGCCAAGCGGTGTGCAGCCTTGGCTGTTGCTGAGGCAAAAGCTCGGATGTGGGAGGAGTTTGGTGAGACCTTGGATAGAGACTCTCGGTCGGCTCCGAGGAGATTCTGGCAAACCATCAGGAGGCTGAGGAGGGGAAAGCAGCACTTTACTAACACTGTGTTCAGTGAAGGTTGGGTGCTGTTGACCTCAACCAGTGATGTCGTCGGGAGGTGGAAGGAATATTTCTTGGACCTTCACAATCACACCAACACGTCTTCCATGGAGAAAGCTGAGTCGGGGAACTTTGGGGTTGATCCGTCCATAACCGTGGCTGAGGTTGCCGAGGTAATTAAAAAGCTCCAAGGTGGCAGAGCTCCGGGATTGGATGAGATTCACCATGATTGCCTTAATGCTCTGGATGCTGTGAGTCTGTCTTGGCTGACACGCCTTTGCAACGTGTGGACATCGGGGGCAGTGCCACTGGGGTGGTGGTTCCCCTCTTCAAAAATGGGGGCCGGAGGGTGTGCTCCATTTATAAGAGCATCACTCTCCTTACCCTCCTTGGTAAGGTCTATTCAGGGATACTAGAGAAGCGAGTTCGATTGTTAATCGAACCTCAGATCCAAGACAAACAATGTGGGTTCCGTCCTGGTCGGGGAACACTGGATCAGCTTTTTACCCTCACTAGGGTCCTTGAGTAGGGCTGAGTACCGAACCGAGGTTCTTAAATGGCACCGACCGAACTGCTCCGGTCGGTGTATAGATTGAAACGTCACTCTTTTTTCGGTGTCAAGTTTCGGTATTGGCTGTAAGGTGTCACGTGGTTTCAGCACGCAGGCAGGTAAAACGCAGACATATAGCAAACAGACTACGTGTTTACACCCAGAGCTGTATAGAGCTGCCGCACCTAATCTATGTATAATGTATGTCTATGGTGCTGGTGACACCCACAGATGGGGTTCACGTGTGCAGCGCGTGGGTTGTCAAAACCGTTCGACAAAACACGGGCAGAAAGTTGCTCCGTGTTTCTCTGCAAGAAGGCGAGAAGCAGCCTCCCCCCTCCTCCTCTCAGCGTGAGTTAGTCTCTGTGTGTGTGTGAAATGGACTGAATCAACATTCCACAGCCGGACTTGTCTTCATCAAAGAACTCCCGATGACGACTCTGTGTCTGTGTTTCAGCTGGTGAGTTCACGTTTTTTAACGTTACTGCAGCTTAACACGTACATCACAGTGAAATAACTCTAACTTTAAGATATTAGTGTGTAAATTTTTTTTATCTACGTAGCTAGCTAAATTCAGAAGCTAACTAAAGCTTGACAGTAACAGATGAAGCTTAGCTTGTAAAACTGCTCATACATCCAGTCAGCTGCTTAAACAGTTCAGCTAATGTTCACTGTTTATGTTAATGTTCTCCTCACAGGAGGTTCTGACCCTGATGTGAGGACAGACAGAAAAGCGAGGTGGGGGCCACAGGACAATCACAGACTTTTTTGTTAAAAGTTTGCTGTCTTTTCTACAGTGGAGCTGCATGGTGGAGGTAAGTGAAGCTGTAAAGGATTTTGTTGACCAGTTAAACTTTTATCTCTCAGCCCAGATAATGTTTTTTGAGCAATAATAACACAACCATGTTATTGTTGATGTTTTGTTCTCATGTCAATTAGGGAGATGATCAGAGCCCTAAACCCCAGAGAATCGCAGAGAAGATTCAGGCAGAGACAAAGAGGTGCAGAAGTCTGTATCAACCCTAACTTCAGTGAATCCAGTGACCTGCTGGTGGGATGTGAGGGACAGACAATCATGGCTGTCAAACTGACAACCAGGTATCTGTGTGTGCAAATCATCATCTACAGCCTCAGAGGGAACACTTCCTACTTCTGGAGACACCATCAGCCAGGAGCAGCTTGTTTGTGTCCAGAGAAAGCAGACGTGTTGTTTCTGAAGAAAAACTGTTAAATGAAAAGGTCCTCAGTGTGTAGCAGTGAGCATTAGACACTGACGTGTCACTGGTTGTTTGCAACTCTTCTTTTGAACTGGAAATTATTTGTTTATTTTAATGTAAGAAAACTGCTTGGAATAGAAAAATACCAAAGTTAAAAAATAAAATTCACAATATGTACTGTAATGTGTAACGTAATTTTATTCTTGTTAGAATTAATATTAATTACAAAATTGATACCGAAAAAAGAACCGTCCAGGAACCGACACCGAAGTGAAGGTACTGACACCGATTTTTTTTTTTTAGAAAGGTACCCAGCCCTATTCTTGAGGGGTCATGGGAGTTTGCCCATCCAGTCTACATGTGTTTTGTGGACTTGGAGAAGGCATTCGACTGTGTTCCTCGGGGTACACTGTGGGGGGTGCTCCATGAGTATGGGATTGGAGGTCTGTTGTTACGGACTGTTCAGTCCCTATTCAAGTGGTGCGAGAGTTTGGTTCGCATTGCCGGCAGTAAGTCTGACCCCTTCAGGGTGGGAGTTGGACTCCGCCAGGGCTTCCCGTTGTCACGATTCTGTTCATAACTTTTATGGACAGAATTTCTTGGTGCAGCCAGCTGCGGAGGGTTTCCGGTTCGGTGGCCTCAGGATTCCATCTCTGCTTTTTGCAGATGATGTGGTCCTGTTGGCACCATCGTGCCGTTATCTCCAGCTCTAACTGGAGCGGTTCGCAGCCGAGTGTGAAGCGGCTGGGATGAGAATCAGCACCTCCAAATCTGAGGCCATGGTCCTCAACCGGAAAAGGGTGGATTGCTCTCTTCAGGTCGAGGGTGAGGTTCTGCCTCAAGTGGAGGAGTTCAAGTATCTCGGGGTTTTGTTCACGAGTGAGGGAAGAATGGAGCGTAAGATAAGTAAGATGATAAAAAATATGACTCTGAAGTAGTTTCTGCTTGACTCGAATTAACAAAAAAAAATTTTATTAAATAAACAGCCATTGAACTGAATGGAGCAGGTGTACGGCGCACGTCACTTAACGATTTTGAAGAAAAAAGTAGTAAAAAATACATTAGGGTTTCATTCCATCCACCAACAGCTTAAACAAAACTCAAAATATCGGTACATTTCAACAACAATAATTGAAATTGACCGAAAAACCAATATTAAAAAGTTAGCTACTTACATACTACTCCACCTCCTGATCCAAGCGAGTGAAAGAAAATGGCGTCGGCGAGATTCTTCCAGAGCAAACTTGGTCAAGTACCCGAATGTTCAGGTTTTTCACTCTGGGTGTTGAAAACCATCAACTCTGACATGTGACACGCATAATCTTACGGTATCACACGTGTGTTGAGTTATGTATAGTGAATTAAACACAAAAGTCTCAACACTGTACTCTAATATGTGCTAACACTGATATTTTAACATTGGCAAATTTGCTGTGCATGCTTGCTGATGCTGAGGATTTGCAAAAAATTAAAGATTGAATGCAATCTGCTGGATACCTTAGATAAATATCTTGGTTATAGGTGTTTAGTGTTTCCCCTACCGTTATTCAAAGAGGGCAGCCCGCCCTCCCAATAGGACTGCTCTCTACAAGCCAAAAGTAGCAGAACAGTAGCTAAAAGTAGCAAAAGGCTAGCTAAATGTTAAAAATCACCAGTAACAGATCAACAGTAGCTAACAACTAGAAGTAGCAAAAGACTGAAATAGAGCCAGTACGCTGAAGCAAATTTTAAATGGACTGAGATGGTGTAGAGGTAGGGCAGCCAACTTGGGACCAGACAGTCTCAGGTTCAACTCTTCGCCATGCCCATGTTGTGGTGTCCTTGAGCAAGACACCTAATCCCTAAGTGCTCCCCAGGTAGCTTACATAGCTGCCACGGCACCACTTGGGTGTATCTCAGGTGTGATGGGTTAAATGCAGAGAACTAATTTCATCATTGCATAGAAACATACAATGATGACAGCATATAATACTTATATTAAAGAGAATAATGTTTTGGAAGAAATTGAAGAAATCATGTGAAGCCAAATCTGAGTAGTTAGTTAAAGCTTTAGCTACAAGCTAAAGCTAGAGGCAGATAAGTAGTTGAAAGTAATAAAGTGCTAGCTAAAAGTAAAGACTGCTAGCAAAAAGCTAAAATAGCGCATTGATAGCCAAAAGCTAAACATTGGAAAAGGATAGCCAAAACTATCAAAAGGTGAGCTAAAAGCTAACATATAGCACAAGCCTGCTAAAAGTGTCTTCCCTATAGCCAAAAGGTAGAAATTGCATTTGAAAACAAAAATAGAGCCAGTTTGCTACAAAGCAGATTTCAAAGAGAACAATATTTTTGTAGGAACTGATGACATCTCAATGCATTTTTATCATAAAATATTTATAAATTTAATATTGTGATTGGTAGAAAAGTTACAAAAAACAAAAGTCATAGCACCCATTTATGTAGCGCTGAACATGTTGATGTATGAGCAGCTAAAACAGTATGCAGAAGATGAGCAACAAACATGAAAAGTTACAAACAGGAAACCAACATTGTGTGTTTCAAAAACATCTAGTTCAAACCTTTGATCTTTTGATCTTAAGTGAGTTTAATGGTTTTGTTTTAGATTTAAAAAATAAAATAGAAAAAAGTCCTATTGATTTGTTCATTTGTTTTTCATTTACAGGATTACTGACAACTTGCTGGCTATGGCAAGGCCTTCCACCGAACTCATAGAGAAATATGATATAATCCAACAGTTTCAAAGGTATGACTCAATTTTCTGTTGTTTGAGTTTTTCGTAAAGCGTTGTCAATTATTTTAGTGTTAGCCTATACCAGTATTCTCTTAACATATACAAAGAAGACATTTTTGAAACATTTTCCACCCAGTGTAGTTTGAAAGCCACATAACAAATTTGATCCTTGAAACAAAGAAAACACGATGTATTAACTTTATATAAACATTGTGCTTCTTATACAGTTCAAATAACAATGCCAAGTTTAAAACCACAATTCCAACTAAGTTGGTGCACTGTGTAAATGAAATTCAATGATTTACAATTTTCATAAACTCATATTTTATTCACAATAGAGCATGGTACATATCAAACATTGAAACTAAGAAGATGTACCAACTTTATTGAAAAAACAAGGTATTTTTTAATTTCATGGCAGTAGCCCACCCTAAAAGTTAGAACAGTGGCAAAAAAAGGCTGTACATGTAGCATAAATAAAAAATGCTGGTGAAGATTCTCAGTCATCCAGGACATGATGAATTCAAAAATTGACTGCTCTTTGAATTGAGAAAGCTCCTCGGATGAGGAGCGAAACATCTTCTGTTACAAATAAAGTCCAGTTGTTTTTGTATTGAACATGGACTGGAAAATAATTTTCTGATTAATTACACTAATTGGCATCAGGTTAGTAAAAGGACCAGGTAAAAAAAACAAGTAATTTTAGAGGCTAAAACTGAAACAAACTGAATCAATTACAGCAGCTTTGTAGTAAAGAGTCCTGGCGCTGAACGGACCTGCCTGCACGTCAGAGCTCTCACCAGTCAAAATATTTGGTGCATCATGAAACTAAAACATCTGGAGGACTGTTAACACCATGAATCCTACATGAGACAAGAATGGGGCACCATTCCCCCAACAACTGGGGCCCCATGCATGAGTGTGCAGCTTTCTTACTGAACATTGGAATTCGAACCAAATTTTAAAAGTGCCTACGCACTAAAGTGTTCAGATTTATCAAACTGCGCATGCATGTTATGCACTTTTCCTTTAAATGGTAAATGGACTGTACTTGTATAACACTTTTCTTTCTCATCAAGATACTCACTCATTCATTCATACACCGATGGGACACATCAGAGGCAATGAGGGGTTCAGTGTCTTAACCAGGGACACTTCAAAACATGTGACTACTGGTGGAATTGAACCCCCAACCCTCCCATTGGAGGATGACTGCTCTAACCATTCAGCCACAGCTGCCCCACACTTTATACATCCAGATGAACGTGGAATTGCGTGCACGAGACACCTCCCCTGACACTCCTCCATTTAAATATGCTAGTAGATGCAAATATGTCCTGCAGATGTGATTTTCCTTTCTGCACAATAAAATTGTTGTGTAGATGCAAGAACATTTAAATTTTGTGAAATGTGTTAGAGGCTCCTAGTTGGGCATGAAAACGTACTTGGCACACATTCGGGTGGCGCAGTTGGTAGAGCTGCTGCCTCTCAGCGAGCAGGTTGCCCTGGTTCAAATCTTGGCCGGGGCCTTTCTGGGTGCAGCTTGCATGTTCTCTCCGTGCTGCGTGGGTTTTCTCCGGGTACTCTGGTTTCATCCCACAGACATAAAACATGCATGTTAGGTTGATTGGTAACTCTAAATTGTCCCTAGGTGTGAAAGAGAGAGTGAATGGTTGTTTGTCTCATTTGTCTCCGTGTCCCTGTGATGGACTGGAGACCTGTCCAGAGTGTCTCCCGCCTCTCACACAGTGATTGCTGGATATGGACACCAGTGACCCCCGCAACCTGAAAAAGAAGAAGCAGCTGAAGATAATGGATGGATGGATGGATTGCAAAGAGGAGTTAAGCCCCTAGTATACTCCCGCATACGTTTGTTCACGCGTACGTAGGCGTGTACTGTACTGTAGAGCATTCCTATTTCTAAACT